CCTAGGTCCTAGAGGGTCTTGTAAGGGTTTTTGCTTTTACTCTAGGAGAAATGAGGAACCATTGGAAGCTTTCAAGCAGAGGGAGGAAATGATCTGCTCGTGTTTTAGAAGGATTTCTCTGCCTATTGTAGGGGAAATCAGCATGAAGGGACAAGGACTGAAGCAGAAAGCTCATTTAGGAGGTGAGAAGGAATGGTGGCGCTGGTCTTGATGGTGGCAGTGGATGCCGTAAGAAGTGACAGGGTTCTGAAGATAGAGTCATCGGGATTTATCAGAGGGGACTGTCAAAGGAAGAGAGGAGCTGAGGAGGTAGCCAACGTTTTGTCCTCAACAACTGGAAAGGGGGAGGCTGAAGAAGAATATTAAGCTTGAGGTACCTTAAAACATTAAGGGGAAGATGTGAAGCACCAGATGAATGGGTTTAAGATAAAATGTGCCATATATTTCAAAACATGTTTAAAATAGCTACAAGTGGTAACACTGCTGGAAATCTCCTCTGGTGCACTCTTTCTGGAGGACAATTTGGCAAAATCTCGAATATTAAAATGCACATACCTGGGGTCAGGCAATTCTGTGATATTCTAAAGGAATGCTGTATGGTTATGCAAAGTATGCATACATTTGAACAAGATTGCTCTTTAGAACAACATTTATAACGGGAAAAAAGGTGAAGTTCATTGGCAAAGATCTAGTTAAATAAATTAGGCTTCTATACAGAGGACTCACCAGCAGCTGTTAAAAAAATATAAGTAGTCTTCTGTGATTTGTAGAAAACATTTCAAACCATAAGTGGAAAAATTTTTTAAAAATCAAGTAGCAGGGCAGAATCTGTAACATGATGATGTCATTTATTTTGTGTGGAGGTGTATTTTTAAAGGACTTTATAGATATCTGTAAAAAACTAGCTAGCAAGAAACAAGTAATCTAGGGAAAAACCTAGGAAGAGGACACGAACTTTCTAGTATTTGTGTACTGTTTGTTTTTTACCTTGATGATGTATAACTTGAAATTTTCTAAAAGTTAAAAAAAAAAAGGTGGAGGCAAAATGTGTGAATCCAGAGATTTTTAAAAATGTGAACCCGGAGATTTAAAAAAAAACAAAACACCTGACCGGCAGAACAGGTTATAAAATGAAGTCAGCTCAAGAAGTTCCCTTTGTGCTGAGGAAGTTCCCAAGAGGAAGGGAACAGGAGGATGGTTCCAAAGGTGTCTTGAGCTCTTTGTTATTGGTACAGGATTTGAGTCGTTCATTTATTCAGACTGAAAGCAATTAAATGCTGGGCATGGCTCAGGGATGAATTCTGTCAGTTTCTCAGGGAGGAAGATATCAAGAAGAGATACCAGTAGAAGGAGATCAAGATGGAGGTGAGGGACATAGAGAGAAAAGGGGAAATTGCTAGTAAGTGCCGGTTGAATCACTTCCAACACACAGCGAACCTGAATGGGGTTTCCAAGGAGCAGCTGGTGAGCTTGAACCGCTGACCTGGGTTCATACTGACTTTGCAGTCCAGCATATTAACCCACAGCACTACACCAAGACTCCTTAAAGGGGAAGAGAGGGTGTCAATAGGTGTGGATAGGCAGCTGCACCTGGGACTATTGGGGCTGAGGAGGGCTGCTGGAAACTTTGGCCTGGTTTTTACTGAGCAGCAGAAACTGAAGCCAGAGGGAGGGAGAACTCTTGGAAAGATGGAAAAACTCTTGCTGGCTGGGTCAGATTCCCCATATCATTCCCTGAATCTGGCTGCAGAATGGAGAGGCCAGAAAAGATGGACAAGAGTTCATTGCCCTGGCCTGCCCTTTCCTAGGATAAGAAAGGGACTAGGAGACCTCCACAAGTGGAATGCTCCTAGCTGATACGGTAATCTATTTGGGTAGACCCACTTATATGTTACAATGCCCAAAGCAATGGAGGCCGGCACACTGCCTCACTTCTCATCCTTCATGTCCCAGTGTTGTTGTTGTTAGGTGCCATTGAGTTGGTACTGACTCATAGTGACCCTATGCACAACAGAATGAAATACTGCCCAGTCTTGGGCCAACCTCACAATTATTGCCACGCTTGAGCCCATTGATGCTGCCACTTTGCCAATCCATCTCACTGGGAGTCTTCCTCTTTTTCTCTGACCCTCCACCTTACCAAACATGATTTCCCTCTCTAGTGACTGGTTCCTCCTGAAAATATGTCCGAAGTATGAGAGACGAAGTCTGACCATCCTGGCTTCCAAAGAGCCCTCTGACTGTACTTCCTCGAACACAGATCTGTTCTTTTGGCAGCCCATGGCACTTTCAATATTCTCCTCCAACACCGTAACTCAAAAGCATCAAATATTCTACAATCTTGCTCATTCACTGTTTGTTTCATATGCATAGGAGGTTATTGAAAATGCCATGGTCTTGAATATATGCAGGCAATTGGACGATTAGGCCACTTATCCAAGCTTCCTCCACATACCTACATCAAAGTCACCCCTTGGAATATACATCAGTCAACCCTGAAAGCAGGGACTTAAGGAAGATGCCTGCATAGGAAGTGAGCTCAGAAAGTTTGGCCAAGTAATCTTAGAGTTCCAAGTACCTGGAGAGAGGCAATGAGCAAACACACCACCTTATTTGTGGCCTCCTTAACTTCGGGAGGCTGGTGTGGCACCGTAAGTTAATGCACCAGACTGCAAAGCCATTGAACTACAAGCTCGGAGGTTCAAGCTCACCAGTCGCTCCTTGGAAACCCTATGCAGGGTCACTATGGGTCGGAACTGACTCGATGGCACTTAACAACAACAACAATAACAACTTTGGGAGGAAGGATGTAGTTGGAGGATGTGAGAGCAGGGTCCTCCACAGTACAAAGTCCAGACCAGGGGCCCTGACCTATCTCTAAGAGCTGGAAAAATAGTGGACTGGATAAAGGAGGCACTAGACCAAACCAAGAAAAACGGAAGTGACCCAGTTCTGTGGGTAAGCATCCAGGGCTCATCTCAGGAAGTGGATTTTAGGCTGTAAGGAAAGCAGACTCTCTTCAGGAGAAGCAAGTGATTACTGTGTCACCTGTGAGTAGAAGCCATGGTCTGCCAATGACAACAGTCACTGTGATGCCAAGAAGCTGCCCTGGACCTGTGTGTTGCCCTTCCCCATTGCTACAAACAATATAACCACCCACCTCCTTGTCCATACCACAAATTTGGGAGTCAATTTTGTAAACCCTCTGCATTCTCACTGCCCATTATCCATCAGCAAAGCTTGCCCATTCTACCTTTTATATTTTCTCCAATCCATTTCTCTCACACCAATCCAAGTTGATTAAGCACTGGGCTGCTAAGCATAAGGTTGACAGTGTAAACCTACAAGCTCTTCATTGTAGAAAGATGAGGCTGTCTGTTCCTGCAGAGATTTATAGTCTTAGAGAATCTGTACTTAGTCCTATAGAGTCGCTATGTGTTAGAATCCACTTGACAGAAGTGGATTTGATTTGATTTTTGTTTTGTTTTGTTTAATCCAAGCTACCTTCATCTCTTTCCTAAGTACTGCAGTTGCTCTTCCTGATGTTTCTTGCCTCCCTTCAGTCTATTCACTCATAGCAACCAAAGTGATCTTAGTAAACATAGTGTCCATGGTACTCTCCAGCCGAAGACCCTTGATGGTCCTCCTACTGTCCCCAGAATAAAGTTTAAATTTCCTAAAGTGGCCATTTATAATCTGGTTCTTGCCTCCCTTTTCAAACCCATCATGAATTTCTTCCAGTGGCTCCAATATGAAATGTTCTCATACAGCTTTGGTACTGTGCACGGACTTTTTCCCTCTCTTCATACTTGACTTGTGGAGTCCGGTGTGGCGCTGCAGGATAAGACTTGACCTCAAGGTCAGTTTGAACCACAAAGTTGCCGGTTCAAATTTACCAACTGCTCTTCAGAAACCCTATGCAGAGTCGCCATGAGTTGGAACCGACTCAACAGCACTAAACAACAACATATTTACTTGTACTCCCCAACTCGCCCACCTTTTCTTTCCAATTGAAAAAAAGGTATAATTTACATACTGTAAAATTCAGTTTATATAGTCACATAACCACCACATCAAGATGTAGGACACTTCCATCATCCCAAGAAATTTTCTCATGCCAGTTCTAGCCTCCTCCTCTTCTCAGCTCCTGTCAACCACTGACCATTTCACTTGGGAAAGTCCTCGGAAATCCGATTCAGAGTCGCTGTAAGTTGGAACCGACTAGAAGGCACTTAAGAACAACAGGATTGCTTTGTGTGCATAGAGAACAGAGAAAAGGAGAGCAAGGCAAGAGAGTATGTCAAGAGGAGGGACAGGACGGCAGAATCACATGCTGCTGGGAGGTGGAGGAATATGAAGACGAAGGAGTTCTTTAGGACTGGAGAGTCACCAAAGTCACTGGAGACCTGGGCCTGGACAGTGTCTATAGAGCTGTCAGGAGTGCCCACTCTTAGCTATGTTCCCAAGAAGACTTCTCACACACAGTAGACTAAGTTCCTGTCCTCTGTAGTCCTATGACATCCAACACCTACATCCACTTAGCCTTAACCCACTAAACTGTAGTTGTTTCACTCTCCCTTCTGGGACAACCCTGATCTCGTACAGACGCCAATCTTTATCACTGTCACACACACACACAACTGTGAGTTCCCACAGGGCAGAAGCAACATCCAATTCTCCTTGATATCCCCAGCTCCAAGGAGACTTGAAACAATCTTTATAAAATAGTGTGTGAATGAATAATTGCTGACGAAGTTAAAGAATGGATGGATGCGTGGAAGTAGGTACTTAGGTGTTGCTGTTAGAATGGCTTGACTTTTTTTTGCTCTTTCTCCTTCGGCTCTTCATACTACTAAATCTCCCCTAAAGACGAACCGGCTGACGATTAAAATTTTAATGAGGATGACAACACCATTGACGCTTTCGAAGAGGGAGCCAATGCAGAAGGGGCGGGACAGGAAGCGGAAATACGAACCAAAGTTAGCAGCGGCTTCGTTGTCATGGAGACCAAGAGCTCCTGCGAACAGCAAGAAGCAGAGTCCGAGTCCTACCTGTCGCGGAAAGCAACATGGGGGCGGACCACGAACCTAACCCGGTCCTGCAGCCCCAGCCAGTGCACCTGGAAGTCCTCCTTGCTGTCCTTCGCCTACACCGAGGGCTTCCGCTGCAGCACTGGTGGTCGACTCCGCGGCGTCAGGCCGTTTGCGCTCACTCCGCGGGAGGAGCCGCAGCTGCTGCGTCTACGCCCCACCTCGCTCCGCACCCAAGACATCTCGTACTTGCTCACCAGCGTTTTCCGCAATGTCTACTCTGCCAACGTGATTGACGAGGATGTGTGCACTAGTCTAATCAAAGCCCGCGGCAGCGAGGATGCACGCCACGAGCAGTTCGTGGACTCACTACAGCAGGTAACGCAAACCAGTCTGCAGACCTTGTGGGGGAGCCAGAATGATCTGGAGGAAGGCTGACGCCGGCCCTACTCAACTGCTCCGTATCTGTCAGCAGCTGCATGGAGCCAGACTCTGAGGGACAGAGCCAACCAAGTCCATGTCGCCTTAGCGCTGACATTCTAGCAGGAGGACACTATACACACACGCTACACACATATGTCTGTATGTCTATAGCATCTATCAATCAGTTTCTCTATATACACACACCTGATATATTGCAGTATTGCGTATATATAACTAACACGACTGGTCCGAGAGCTGAATAGAACCCAAAAATCACTGCCTTTTTGGGCTGCCTTGTTATCATAAAATTACAAACTTGAGAGAGTCATTTATGCCTAGATTTTAGGAAACAATCTATTTCCTTATCTGTCCAGTGAGAAAACCAGCTGGCTTGGGCCCCTCTGCTGAGTGTGACTCTGCTGACCAGACTACAAACTAATGTCTTAAACATCACAACACTCCTCCTGTGGACTTTCACACAAATAACACTCCTACCTCTGCCCTGGTGTACCTCCTGCCTCTCAGATAGACCTTTGTGTTCTCTTAGGCTGGTTTACTGTCCCCTAACTGGCACGTGCTTCTCCCCAACTTCAGCCATTTATTCATTTAACACATTTTATTGAATGCCTCCATATGTTAAGCACTGGACTTTGAGCCACAAGGTCAGCGGTTTGAGCTCATCAGCCACTTGATTGGAGAAAGATGAGGCATTTTGCTCCAGCAAATATTTAAAGCCTTGGAAACCCTATTCAGCTGAGTCGGAACTGACTCTGTTGTGCTTAGTAATGGAAACTGCAATGATGTGCTATGGTCAGTTCTGGGCAGAGGGGATTTAGCAGTGTATAAAGCACACAAACAAAAATGGTCCTCCCTAGCTTCCAGTCTAAGTGGGGTAGACAGATGTTAACAAAGTGAATATCTATATTGTACTTACGCAATAGTAATGCAACAAGCCTCATTTCCTCCATGGGTTATGTTGTTAAGTGCCATTGGGTCAGTTCAGACTCATAGCAACCCTGTATATAGTTTCCAGGGAGCAGCTGGTGAGTTTGAACCACCAAACTTATGGTTCAAACTGACCTTGCGGTCCCAAGCTTTATCCTAAAGTGACTCACCAGGAGTCCGGAAATCTAGTCAGGACCACCGGATCAGACCCCCTGCTGTGCACTTCCTTGGGTACCATATTCACTGTGCTAAGACTTTAGTCCACTCAGGCCAAACTTTCCCCATGAAGTTTTGATTTACATCCTCGTCATCCACATAAGCCAAAATGAGCAGAGTGTTGTAGCACTTATCATCAATCACCTAGTTTATAAATGCTCTTTTTAATAAAAGAGCCCTGGTGGCACTTTAGGATAAGCACTAGACTGCTAAATGCAAGGTCAGCAGTTCAAACCCACCAGCCGCTGTTTGGGAGAAAGATAATCCTTTCTTCTCCTGTAAAGATTTATAGCCTTGAAAAAACCCTATACAGGGTCACTATGAGTTGGCATTGACTCGATGGAGGTTTGGTTGATTTGGATAACTGTTTAATCAGGATCCGTGGTGGTGCAGTAGTGAAGGTACCTAGTTGTGAACCAGAAGGCTGAAGGTTCAAACCCACTAGCTGTCCTGCAAAAGAAAGATGTGTCAGTCTGCGACTAGAAAGATTTACAGTCTTGGAAGCCATAGGGGGAAGTTTTACTCTGTCCTGTAGATTCATTATGAATCAGAATGCACTTGCTGCCATAGATTTGTTTTTGTTGTTGTTGTTAATATCTCTCCCACCTCTAACCACACTACACTACGGTTTGAACTGGCAAACTCTTCTTTAGAAGAGCACAGCAGGGGTTCTGATCCAGGGGTCCTCAATAGACTTCTGGAGTTGTGGTGTGTCACTTTAGGATAAAGCACTAGACCTCAAGGTCAGTTTGAACCATAAAGTTGGTGGTTCAAATGCACCAGCTGCTCCTTGCACCTTCTTTAATAATAATAATAATAATAATGAAAGATGTTTTTGAAATAAAAACAAATAATGTTCAATACTGTTAATTGTAAAAAGTTCAGACTCCATAAAAGTTTAAGGAGTGGCCTCATAGAACTATAACTGTGCAAAAATGTGTTGACTTTATGTGCTGCTGTAGGATCAGCACTGGACTGTGAACCACAGGTAAGCAGTTCAATCCCACCAACTGCTCTTTGGAAACCCTACACCGGATCACTGTGAGTCAGAAGTGACTCGATGTCACTTAACAGCAGCAACAATGACAGATCACCACTCAGTTTGTCACTGATCATCTATCGGTTTGTCGTACTCTCAAGACTTTCATATTGCTGTGGTGGACAGGTTTCAGCTGAGTTTCCAAAGTAAGAAAGACCAGGAAGAAGGAAAATCAGACTACTTCTGAATGGTTAGTCACTGAAAGCCTTATGAATAGCAATGGAACACTGTCACATATAATGCCAGAAGATGAGCTCCTCATGTTGGAAGACGTTCAAAATATGACTGGGAAGAGCTGCCTCTTCAAAGTAGACTTGACCATGATGACATGAATGGAGTAAAGGTTTCATGAGTACAACTCAAAATGAGGAGAAGCAGCTGTCAACACCCATTACTAAGTGGAACATAGAATGTACAAAGTATGAATCTAGGAACATGAAAGTTGTTAAAAATTGAAGTGGAATGAATAAAGATCAGTGTCCTAAGCACTAGTGAGCTGACATGGACTGGTAGCGGCCATTTTGAATGTGATAGTCACATGGTTTGCTATGCCAAGAATAGCACATTCAAGAGGATTGGCATCACAGTCACCATCAAAAAGAATTATTTCAAGACCTATCTCAAAGTACAGTGCTGTCTGTGATAGGATAATATCGACATGCCTATAAAGAAGACTAATTAATACCACTATTATTCAAATTTACACACCAACCACTAAAGTCAGTGATGATGAATTTGAAAAATTCTACCAACTTCTTCAGTCTGAAGTTGATCAAGCATGCAGTTAAGATGTATTGATAATTACTGGTCATTGGAATGCAAAAGTTGAATACAAAAGAGGAAAGGTCAGTAGTTGGGAAGTATGGCCTTGGTGATAGAAATTATGCTGAAGATCACATGATAGAATTTTACAAGATCAACAACTTATTCATTGCAGATACATTATTATTTTTTTTTTTTAGCTTTTTTTTTTCTTAAATGTTTTATTGTGAATTATGTGACAGTTTACATGGGAGAACATTAGTTTTATATTCATTCTATCGTATATCGTCTCATTGCCAATGGTTACAGTCCCCTCCATACAATCCTTCCCTCGTACCCCCCAGGTCTTCAGCACATAGTCACTCTCCCTCTCTGGATCTAAAGTCTCCAGCTGCTCCTGAAATGGAACCAAAGATGATGACGTGGAGCGATGGAGCAGCTGCAGATACATTATTAAACAACATAAAAGAACCTCATGATATGGAAGACACAGGAATCACATTGGTTGTACCTGTGGGAAGATTTAGTGGAAAAGTCAATATCCTCATTCAAGACTGTAGAACTGACTATCAATAGCTCATATGCTAGTTCAAGATGAAACTGAAGAAAATTAAAACAAATCCATGAGAGCCAAAATATGTCCTTGAACATATCCCACCTGAATTTAGAGACCATTTCAAGAACAGAGTCGATGTATTAAATGCTAATGACCAAAGACCAGAAGAGCTGTGGGGTGACAACATGAACATCATACAGACATGGGCTAAGTGGACTAGAGGTAGACTGCGACATATGCACAGCCTTGGAATGACAAAGCTCTGTGATACAGAGATTAAGAAGGACATAGACTGAAGGAGTAAAGGAGAGGAAATAATGTTAAGGTGCTTTTCTGTTTTGTGGATATTGGGTTCCCCTGCCTATTAATGTAATATAGACATCTAAGTGGAATAGAAAGGATAACTAGGGAAGATGATTACAGAAAGCTTGTAAGTCCATATTCAGCTTATAATGAATTGAATTATCTAAAGGGGGTCTAGAATTTACCCAGGAAACCAGGCTTCTTGTTAAGCTTTGGTGAAGTATGGGGCCTTAGGTGTAATCCTGAGCCCTTCAGGGGTGAGGTATTCCCAGTTGAAAGGACATGCAGACCAATACTGAACGACTAGAGAAACAGAAGATACTTCTTAGAAGAAAGACCATTGGTGGGGAGAAAAAGCAAAAACAAAACAAAAAAGCATACTTTTTGTCTATAACAATATCAAGCAAGCTGTTTGCCCTTCAGCCATCAAGGCAAAAAAAATCAACCCATCAGGATAAACTCCTTTCTAAGACTGGAACTCATAGGGAACACAGAAACAGTATTGTATGCTCACTGGCAACCGTCCTGGTCGACTTATGAATGGAAGGGGGTGGGGGTGGGGAATTCAGCAAAGAAGACATGGGCTGAGATTGGCCGTGTTCCATAGACACCCAATGACCTTGGAATGAAAGAAGAGGATGGGCTGTGGGTTTGAAGTTCAGGGTGATGTGTGAACCCCCAAGCCCAAAGACACTGACCTTGCCACTTAGGACTAAAGTTAAGAATGAAGCAGCCAGCAGCTCTGAAGATGGGGGAGGCATGTAAGAACTTCCAGTCCCACAGACAGTACACATGGGACATAGCATGGATGACTTGCTGACCAGAATTCAACCAGATGAAGATTAAAAAGTATCACACAGGGAACAAGCATACATACATTGCTACAACCTGATCAACTGAACCCTTGAGTATGGATAAGGCTGCTCAAAATTCCAACCACATAGGGAAGGATTCTCCATATCAAGGATAAAGTATGTCTCCTCAGTACACTGGGTTGATTGTTATTGTTGTTAAGTGTTTT